TGCTGAAATGTTTCTGAGCGGGTAGGTAAATGCTTACATGGTGTTAAACAGTATGCAAAAGAACAGCTACAGTCACTGTGCATTAGTYTGCATTAAATAACTTTTCACTTAAAGGCCTTCACAAGAGTGGACTGAAATTTAACCATGTATGAAATATAACTTTGTGAAAGAAATATGACAAAGCAAGTAAGAAAAAGAAGATTTCAGACTCAGTAAGTACATGCACATCTGCATTTCAGTCCTGCTCAGAAGTGTCCTACTGAAGTAGAGATTTTGGCTCATTCTGCAGAACAGTCCGTAACACATGAACTGCATTTCCTTCACATGAAGCTAAAATGGAAGGTGCACTTTAATGTGCACCAACCACTGACGTGAACTCAGTCAAAAGTAGCAAGCAGACCTATTCTGACATTAAACCTCATGGAAAATGTACAAAGAGGCCCTCAAGTACTTGGTGCTCTGCAAACCTGCTCCCACGGGTACACACTGTTTGCCACCGTAGACAAAGCCAGTGTGATGATCACACAGGAAGTCAAATTTGTGTTAAATGTAGCTCTCATCATAGTCAATCAGACCAAGGCCTGAAAAAAAATTACTTAAAATTTCAGTATGCCTTTCACATCCTTAAGAAAAAAACACTGGATAAGTATACTTAGATAAAAAGATTTTGCATATACTGTACAAAAGGCTTCTGCTCGTTATGAAGGACCTGCACTATTAAGTTGTACTTTATTTCCTAAAGAGTAATCTGAGCTGTGGAATCTTTGTTTGCCTGTCCATTTAACAAGAAAAATACAGGTTCAAATGTGAACCTTTTAACAAATATTTGTTGTGTTGAAGGAACAACAATCTGCCCCGCTGCAAATGCACAAGCACTAAATACAGCGTGATCCAGATGCTGAGTTAGTTCTGTAACGGACAGGAGCTGAGTGCAGGGGAAACTCTAAAGCAAAGGGTTAAGTCATTGATGTGATTTCCATGGATCATAAATACCAGAGTGAGTGGAATTATATTGCATTGGCATGTACTGAAGTAATAACAGGGAAGCAGTATTCCAGTTTGAAATATAATTTTTGACTTTTAAGTCTCATTTGTTGCCTTAATGAAAATACAAATTTAAACTTGATGGGAGTGAAATTAGGTTAAAAGTTAAGATATGTTGGTAATTCTGCTAAGCAGGAGCCTGCTAATGTCCAAGTAAATTTCCACTACTACTTGCATTTAGCTGATGAAACCACAGTTTTCCAACACGAAGCATTCCACCTAAAACAAACAAATAAATACTGAGACTGCCACGCTYATGTAAACTGTATATATATCCTGAATTCAAGGCATACCAAACTTTAAAAAAACACGGCTACCAACACTCACGGTTTGCTTTGCTTCTGAAAATTGATTTCTTGAATAAGAGCTATGGAAGATTTGTAAAACAGATTGTTACACCACAGGTTATTTCCCCATTTATCATAGGAACTTGAAAGCAAAGGCGAGCCCATAAGCGGGCAGGAGTTGAAAGCAATCATCCCTTTCTAAAATGGGACATCCCAAAGTATTGCATTTCACAGAGTCAATATTAACTGAGAAATCTTTAAAAGACCCTCTATCAGGAAAGCTATAAAGTATTTTGCACTGCAGAAGGAGAAAGGGGAGGCAGTATAAATTTCTAAAAGATCACACAGTTCCTTAGGGTAAATTGAAAAAGTCACTAAATTACTCAGACATATTATAAATTGAAATCATAAAATAATATTGAATATATCTGTACAGATATGTAGATAATTAATATGAAGAGTTATTTTCCCTTTGATTAGAAAAATAACAAAAGCAATTCTGCTTATACTAAATTAATTCATATTAAAATCTATTTTTTGAAGGAAATAAAGGTTAAAGGTACCAAAAAATTATTTGGGGAGCACAGGATATTGTTGTGGAGAAGCCACAAAAGACATATATATTTGGAGACTAGGTCAGTTCATTTTCAAATGCATCTTAAAAAGCAAGAAAAACTTAATTTATACAGTAACKTAACTACTTATGTACACAGGTATTTGCAGGCTCAACATCTAAGCAGGCAGACTGCTCATTACATTAATGATGAATTTTGAAGCTCAATACAAAGTAAATTAAGGAGGAATTGTCTTTTTGCAGTGGTTAGCTACTTTAGTGAGTAAATGCTGCCAAAATGAAATCTTGAGTATTGTACTAAAAGGTATTCAACTAGAAAGTTAAATGTAACATGTTTCTCATCTTACTTAATCTGTATTAATGCCCATATTTTCCAAATTGGTTCATAATGTCTTCTGTTGTAGTAATGACCTCATTCCTTGGAAACAAAATAGTCATTTTTCCACCCCAATTTCTCTAAAGCTATATAAAAAGCAGGTAAAATTACATGGCTTTGGCATAACAATTCCTGGAATCTAATATAATAATATATATTATTATTATATAATAATATATAATTATATAATATATAAAATATATATAATATATAATTAATATATTAATTAATTATTAATTATTAATTAATATATATAATATATATAATATATATTATATATAATGTATATAATATATAATTATATAATATATAATATATAATTATATAAATATATATTATATAATAATATATAATATATATTATATTATATATATATTATATAAAAGTGTATATATATATATATATAAAATCATGTTTAGCATGTTTGATCATGCTATGTCATTTATGTTTCACTGCAAAACAAAGAACTATTACATGTTACATAAATACTCTCAACACCTTGTCAATACTTAATCCTTCCTGCTATGATACTGCTCTACCTGTACTTACTTCCAAATCAGCAAAATGTAATTTCTTCCAGAGTAATGTTCATACCTGGCTGACATATGACAGAAAGGCAATAAGCATAGCTGGGTGCAAGCTGAAGCTGAATTTATGACACCATTTTGGGTCTATCCACATCACCTCCTGTCACTACCTGCATCTCTCATTTTCAACCACTAGATGGTGTGAAAAAGTAAAAAAATATATATACGCTTGCCAAGGACGCCTGCTGGCTGCCACAAAAATCCAGTATTAATGTAGTGGATTAAGAAATATTTTCTGAAGCAAAGTCCTGCCCTACTTMAGGATGGTTTGGTTCACTTCTGCTTTGGTTATGTTGTCCCTCATCATCAAACCAGGGGCTTGTAAATGGGCAGACCTTGAAAGTGAATCAAGGGGCTGGTCGAGATGGATAAATCCTGTGGCACTTTCCCCTCCAAGGACCCTAAATTCAGAGCTGACAAGAGTGGCCAGCACTCATTTTTCTGAAGAAGCCGTAGCAATCTTTACGGGAAGCTGGGCTCCGTTCCGGAGCAGAAATCACTGGCGGGGCGAGCGGTTCGATCCATCTGGAGCAGCAGCAGCAGCGGCGGCGGCTTCAAGGACCGCGCGCGGATTCATCAAGKCCGGCGCACACGGCGCCTGATGTGCACAGGGCACCTGAAGCCACTGTTTCTTCTATTCCACTTCATTGTTTTTAATTAAATTTCTCACTATTTTGGCAAGGAGGTAATGAGTGATTTTTTCACCTACACCCTGAAGATTAAGGTTTTATCAGTCCCCATAGTGTTACAGATAGGTACAACCCCCAAAAGTGGCCAGTCTGAACCTGGGGGGGAACCTGTTCATTGAGAGGTTTTTTTTTATTATTATTATTTTTTCTGATGACAGGAGAAGGGGACAAGGTGGTTATTTTAAATTAGTGCTACTCCTCAGTGCTCTATAACTGCCCGATCAAAGAGCGTTATCCTACCTTTCCTAATGTAATTCAGTTATTAGTTTAAGTGACAATGAAATACTTCAAAAGACATACATGGTCACATTACCGCCGGCAATATATCTTCTATATTTTTATATAGGACTACCTTTCTACTCATAAATCTTAAATTTATTTAAACAGGAGCGGTACATTTATTATCCAGAAACACGGCCGTTAAAGGGAGCAGGGAAGATTTACAGCAGTTGTGACCAAACTGAGGAGTTTGAAACTAATACAAACAGATGACAGCTTTCAGGCGGCTACTTACGTATTTCAGTGCCCTACAATATCTGCCCCATGAATTATCCCGAATGGCAAGCACATCGGAGGTATGTACTCTACATATATTAGAGTTTGTGGTTTTTTAATAAAAAAGTAGCAAAGCTCAATTTACTTCTAATGTGTGGGGAAGATAAAATTTCCTCTTCTCCTACTTGTTCAGAAGTAGGCTTCAATGGGCTGGGATGGATTTTTAAAAGAGTCGGTTTAGGTTTTTTTTTTAAAGGGAAAAATAGGAAAAATACCGAACATAAATAGAATAAAATAAAATAAAATAAAATAAAATAAAATAAAATAAAATAAAATAAAATAAAATAAAATAAAATAAAATAAAATAAAATAAAAATAATAAAACCTCATGCCTTACATCACTTCGCACTGTTTTAGACCAGAAGAATTAAATCTACCATTTGCTTTGCAAACAGGAAAAGAGTGAATTAAAAATTGCCTGTATCTGTCAGGGCAAACAAATTCGGAATTGCAAAATACAGACAAAGATGAAAGCAGAGACGGAAAAAACCAAGGCGCCTTCAGGAGCAGCATGCCCAAGAAGCCAGAATCAGCAGAGTCAGGAATATAAAACAGGAAACAAAAACCATAACATACAAGATAATATAAAATCCTGCAAGGTTAACTTTTACAAGCAGAAAGCCCATTGTCTCCCGTTAAACCAGTTAACAAACGGTAGCCAGGATTTAACGGGTAAATAAACATGCTTTTAAGTTAATTCCTGTTACATGGCTATGTTTTAAATGCGATTAGAGTCCAGTTGACAAAATAATTAATTGTGGGGAATATCTGATTGCAAACAAAGGATCCAAAAGGGAGTGCCAGCTTCCCCCCATAGCAGTAATGTGGGAATGTGCCCTTCCACCAGGGCTCTTTTCACCACTATTTAGTCTCGACAGCGTGCTGTACCTTGCTGAGAATGTAGATAACGTCACCACGCTTAAATGTCAACTCATCAGGTACGTCTCCTGTGCAGTCCCACAAACCTTGGTAGAAATTGGCATAATCGGTATTTTTCCCATCTGCAGAGAAAACACAGCATCTAATTACAAAAGGATAAGGACTCTGAGGGACGAAAATCACTCTTTAAAGTCTCTAGACACTACAGGGCAATTTATTACAGCACATTTTCTTAATGCTTTCTGTGAAATCAGCTCCTTCATACCACAAAAGCAAGTGGAAACCAAGTTTAATATGCGAGCCCCTCACCGGCAGCAGTTGTAGCACTTAAAGACATGTAGCTACAGGTTTTCAAAGCATTTTACAGCTGCAACTTGGAGCAGCTAGTTCTCCTCTGCTAATATATTTCCAGCAAGTTGTATTTGTATCTCAACGTGAAAGTGATAAAAAGGCGAGAGTGCAATTAATAATAACCTGTGAAAGAAGCCAAAGTAAGTATTTTGTGATAGGCTCCCCCCTTCCCTTTTCTGCTCCAACCAAACTGAGTAACTTCTGAGAACCTCTTAAATAATTCTGAATTGCTCCTCCTGAAATACTGGAGAACTTTGAAACTGTTTGCTGAAGCTGCATTTTAAAAATATTTGTGTCAGCTCCAGTTTAGGACATTAAGCTCTGGCTAAACATGCAACTACACCAGAGTCATAAACTCATCCTTCTAACAGYATAAGCACAATGGATGTGCTGTGCTCAAGCTGCCATACAGACCATTAACTGATTGATTATTTAGCACTCTTTGCTCTGTAATACGGCAATAACACAGTAATAAATGCTTTGTCATACACTTACAATACAGAGTACATCTATTCAAACACAGCACTTACACATGGTTAAATACACTGGGTGCTTCTGTTACACTGCAAACTATTTCCTGTTTTTAATTCCATGAGAATGGAGTGTGATGAGTTAATGCAAAAAGAATGTAAGCAATACCACYAAGATGACCAGTTACATTATGTATACACTAACCAGACAGAATGTATATGTACCAATAATTTACATCACTGGAAAGCTATCTTCCTATTCTGATAACATAAATATCACTGAACTGGCTGGATCAAGTCTGTCATCTTAGTTTTGTTATACGATCCTTGAACAGCAGGCTTGCTGGTTATTCCAACATATACCAGTCACATTTGCATGTCATTAGCACTCTACACCATTATTTATGGTTTACAATTTAATCACGATTGGTTAAGTTTATTACTGAAAAATCCCTGCCAAAATATGGACTAAAAAAAAAAAAAGAAAAGAAAAAGTCACGATGTGTAATAAAGTAGCATTCAACTTGTGTTGTTCTCTATTTTGACAAATACTTAAAGTTTCATTTTAATTCTCCCTATATGAGCAAGAAGGGCTTGCTTTCCATTTATTCCCTGCAGTCTGTGCTCTTCGCTATCTTGTGTTGATGACAACACTGGCACAAGATGAAACATTCACAACCTTGAAATTAAAACTGCTGATAGCCACCATTTATTTTTCCATGAACTGGTGATTAGCGGCTAACGTTCGCTGTATAGCACTAGAGGGCGATCTCACCATCAGTGCACAAATTCTTCTGTCACCACATCAAAAACCAGCAACACATTTTTAAAAAATCCCATCTATTTATAAATAAGAGATTTGGTTATTGAAAAATGTGTAGATAGTTTAATCTCAAGAGGAAAATGTAATTGCTTTGAAATGTTGCGTGTGCAAATTTTGACTCTTCCCATTTGTCTGTCAGCTCATTATTCACCACTTTAGGATGAGAATTAAAAGCGGGAATACAGGTTAGCACCAAATTAATTTACAATAATATTTTAATCAAAGTATCTCCTCAGTATTTTTAATACAACATTGACCACAGTTCCCAACACTAGTCCACAAAAGATAATGTAAGCTCTTGTAAGAAAAAAAAATGGAAGAGCTACTTTGGTATAACCCAGCCTTCCAAATCTTTCAGCAGTTGTCTTTTTGATCTGGGTTAATAGATTAATCAGGATTTGCATGTCTGCAGAGTTGCACTGAAGTGAATCATGATTTTTCACACTGATTATCACTCTGGGGTCTGCTTCTGCCATTTATACAACCAAAGTAACTCCCTACTAACAGCAATGTGAGTTAGATGGAGAACACAGAGAGCAGAAGAGATYCCCCAGTGAGCAGGACAAGTCTCTCCCTAGATGGTCACTGTGAGAATTTCATTGAGCCTCAGGGTGGGAATGAAACTCAACCAAGGACAYGGCAGCAATGGAGAAGATTCATTTTAAAACAAGGTTATTGCTACCGCAATGATGCTGCCCATAATCTAGCCATGGCTCTGCACCTTCAGTGGGAAAGCAACAGAAGACAGGAGCTGTTTATATCAGCTAACATCCCTTTCAGACAGCAACTGATATACAGGAGCACAGAAGTGAAAACCAGGGAGAGAAAGTGCCAGCATCGGCTTGCAAACGAACACGGTGCTCTCCAGGCAAGTGCCCATTCCCTTTTGGAAATGCTTTCTCATACCCACCCGTACAGGTTTCTTCAAATACCAGAAGTAATTACGCACAAAAACACTAAATGAAAACCTACCTTCAGCATCTATACATCCCAAGGACAGTAAGYTTCATGAACCAATTCTTGAAGTTGATCACAGTACCTTACAAACAAAGGTACAAACAAAAGGGCTGCAAAACGCCCTGTAAAACACAAGTCCAATCCTCCAGTATATTTTAAAAGGAAGAGAGGACCCTGCCAAATTTCTTCTGATGGCATCTGAAGAATTAAATAAAAGAAAACCAGAGGACCTGGATGAAGGAATTTGGTATTTATATGGTAAGGAAACTACACAGACCTTCTAAACACATGCAGTACATTTGAAAACAGTCTGTGGATTTAACATCAAGAACTCAAGCGCCAGTTAGAGTATAAATTCATAAGGTATTGATTTGCTGGCATTAGTCTGCCAAAATTACTCTATTATTATACTCTGTAAAATATGTTTTGTGCCTTAAAAATACTGTGGATGGTTTAACTGCTAAATGAAAGTCGGTTGTATTTAGAAAGCATGGTCACTGAGACCAAAAACGTGAACGAGATGATCAAGTACAAATTCTTTTTCATATGGGCAGTAGAGGGGCTGTTTGCTTTTAATCCACCCACCACTTTTAAAATAATCAGTCAAGAAATGGCTGAGCATGGGTTTGGATAGGCTGTTTGTCCAGGAAATAGTTCTTTCAATCCATGAGAGTTATCCAGAGGATCATGTATCCAACAGTTTTCAAAACTGTTCCATGAAGAATTCCTGAGGGTTTTCTTCTGCCATCTCTGTTTTTCCAGTAACAGTAAYAGGAACAACAGATATTTTTGTGCAATATACTGATGAAAACATTTCAGAGGTTGTTTGATAGATCAAACAGCAGTGTTTGCCAGCCTTTCTGATGGTCGACTTAAGCTACTTTGATTGCAAAATGCTGGCACCTTATAATACATGCTTGAAGAAAGAAAGGTGAATAATTCAGGTAAAACTCTGACAAATGTATTTACTCTAGCACATACTTATAGTGTTGTAGTCTGATTTAAACTTAATAAAACTTAATAGTGCCAATGTGTTACTTAAGGAAAAAAAAAAAAAAGATGATTCACAATAGAGAGAGAATAACAAAACCTGAAAAAGCCAACTAAGAGTATGCATTTTAAGTGTTTTAAGTGTGTTGTACCACTACGCCAATGCAACTGAGGGCTGTCCCATTTGTCCATCTTCTTGTGCCATTTTTGACACGTGCCATTTCAGATCACACACAAAAACTAGACTGATAAATAAAAGGAATTGTAGYCAAAATTTGGATATGCACAATTTAAAACAGTAAAATAAATAGGACCATGTCTTGCTTTCACTGATTTTCTATTTTAACACCCATGTTAGCAAASTCTATAAAAGTTTAAGTCTACTAAACTACACTAAGTCTAAACAGACTTAGAGCTATCAGTTCCACATTATCTGCTCACAGTTCACTTGTGGGATAAGAATGTATCTTCGTTTTTCCACTCTGGGTGAATGTCCAATATATGAATATGATCTTTAAGAAGCTTTCAGTTCCTTAASTTTGATCATATTCCTTGACTTTGATCAGATTCTTCAAAAAGATCAGATTTCAAAACTACTCATCGTGGTCTGAATCATTTTACACTACTTAACATTTTTTAAAAAGGTGAACTTCTGGAAAATTACTGTATCTTACTGTGTCCTTTTTTGCTGGTCATGTGCTGAATACCTACCATAGTGAAGGTAACTGCTGAAGACAGACATAAAGTGCCAAATTAGTGATATCCAAATGACTGTCTCGATGCAGGACTCAGAGTCTCAGTGTTCAAATTCTTCACTCAGATGAGACACAGACTATTAGAAGACACAATTTGTTGACACAGTTTGTTTGTTTTGATATTGTCCTAAAACTGCAAAGAATTCCTGTGTTTCTTTGCCCCTTTTCCCACAAAGAGGAAATATTATAGAAAATCAGTAGAAAATAAGAAAGGATTTTCTTGCCTTCATCAACAGGGTGAGCTTACTATTTGTAGATCATCTGTGAAATTCAGATCTAATAAAGTCAGGCAGTAAATGAAATTTAAGAGTGTATGTTTTATTTTTATGGAAAAATATAGGATATTCTGGATATTCTTGAGTAAGATTAGATATTTATAATTTTWAAGATTTTGATTTCTTATAAAGTATGATCATTTAGATCACTTTTTGAAGATGGTGTATTAGCTAAAAAAAATACATTATTGGATTGACCCTACACCACATTATGACAGTGCATTCCTGTAATTACGGTAATGTTGAAGTAAGAACTAAATGCCATGACTGTTAATGAGTTGTTTTATACATGCTTTTAGCAGAGTACAATGCTAACAGCATCTGATGACTCGGCTCTTGCTTCCTTTCCAAGAAATGCAACCCCCAACTCTTCAGAGCAACCTGTTCCTGCTTTCCTGTATGGCTCAGGAAACCCGGCCTCTGTTTCCTCTCCACATGTTGCAACAGGAAGCGCCCTGCAAAGCTACTTCCTAAAGGAACTCCTCTTGTCCACCCTTTCCTTGACAGCCCTGAAAGAATGATGTGCAACATGCACCAGGAGGGAAGGTGAGCCAGACGGCATGTCAATGCAGGTCACAGTTACAATGCAGCAGATCCTCAAAGAGGCTGAAGGTCTGATAAGCAGCAAGTCTTTGCTACTTGCTGTGTCAAATCACCGGTGGTTTATCTAAAGGTCTCTGCCCTTGAAGCACATATATATCTTGTTTTTAAGCATAACTGGAAATATCTTTCTGTCAAGAAAAGTTGTCTGGCCATGTGACTTTACATGGTGCATGCAGTTATTTTTCCAGTCCAAGAGATAATTAGCACAAGGGCAGTTTGCCAAGCTAAAACTGAGAGAATATCCTTCACAGCCTTTCTGGGCATTCGTGTCCTTTTCCAATTTTTATGCTGCTGTCACTGGACTCTGGCATTTCTTACCCAATTCATTTGCTTTCTGTGGTAATCATATGCAATGAAGATATGCATGGCCAACATTTAAACAGGCTGCAGATCAATTAGTGGTCTTAAGTTTATCTGATTTTTATCAAAGAAGACAGAGCTTTGGGTCGATTGTCAGAGCCTGTGTCAAGTTGACCTTTTCAGAGACGTCTACATTGCCAGTCCCTTGGGCAACTTGTTGTCCCCTGTTAGTCTCTGAATGGCAGAAGTCTGTTCTGCTCAAGCACAAAGTATACACAGATGTCTATATTACATTCTTATAGGTTTGACAGCAACTGCATGTTGTATCTATAAACTGTCCTTTAGCAGTGACACTTCCTCAATGATGATAAGCTAATTTATGCAACTAAATCTCCTTTGTGCAGAAATGAAAGCTAATTGAGTCATTACAAAGTAATTCAGGAAGGAATACCTTGTATAAATTGGCTTACTTTATAAATCCTTCTCAAGTGGTTTTCATGCATCCTAAGTGGTGCTAAGCAGTTTTGCTGCCATCAAATATCCAGATGAAAAAGACAACTTTTACAGAGCTGTAAAAACATTATTTTAAAACAGCAAGGGCAAGGTACCAGGAAATAAAGGCAAAAAGGAACTGCATACAGAAATAAAGAAGAAAAAGTTCAACATTGTGCCAGATTACCTGAAACGACGGTTACTTTCTCCTGGCTCGGTTTTCTTGGCACTTCASTCTTTGGAGGAACACTCTCCTCTTCTGCAAAACACATAAGAGCAAGTGAACCTCTGCAGGCAGGCATCGCCTCGCAGGCATTACAGCCCCCATCAGCCCGAGAGCCACCCTCTGCAATTCCACTTCCTAAACCCTGTTTACTACCTCATACTTGTGCAGAAGTGGGAAGATTGTTATTTCTGTGGTTTCCCCTAGCCATCCAAATACTCCAAAAGCTTTCTTTCAGATTCTCAGTTGTGAGCATCTGTTTCCCTTTTCAGTCTGCTCTGGATATATGACACAGAGCTGCAGTTCTGCTGTTTTTCAGTCATTCCAGACAGTTAGAATGAGGGTCTTACTCTGCTCCGTAACACTTCTTGCCAGGATAAAGGCAAGAAAGGCAGGAATGAAAACGATCCCAGCCCGTGCAACAATTCACATGTYCTAATCAGGAGTGTGCAGAGTGACAGGGGACATTTTGCCCATCTTGCAGGAGGGGACACAGCCCCTGCACAGCCGGGCACTTGCTGCTCCCGCAACTGCAGCTGCCCACGGCTTGAAGCCACCAAACTGTGTGAGTATCTTGGAGCAAGTTTGGGAAAGGAAAAGCAATGAAAAAGCCTGGCTGTGATCAACCCTGAATTACGTTTTCTGGCTAACAGGCTTGGAATGCTCCGAAATCACCACAGTTTCCAAGATGTGCTGCTCCATATATTTCTTGTCCAGCACAGACATGGAAGCCTCTCGTTCCCATACCCTCACTTAGTAAATCCACGCTCCATTCGTGGCACACAAGAACTACTCGACACACTCTGCAGCCAACAGCCACCTTGGYAAGGCAAAAAAAGGGAACAAACCATGAATTCTTTTTTKTTKTTGTTGTATTCMTTTTTTTTAGGTTAAAAGGAAGTAGAAACAGATTTTTCTTGGCTGCTATAGAATACCCCAACTGTCAAAGCTGCTGTACTGACTGAGGAAATAGTATATTGATAAGCCTACTTTACAGACTAGAACTAGAATTATTTCTAAATTCTAAATTATTTTAAATTGCTATTGCTACTCATCACATCTTATACTGACATTCATGCTAGTTTTTAAAGTATGTATTTCAGCAACAGACACAAGACACGTAATTTTTAAAATGCTTCTCATATGCAAATTCCACAAAAAAAAAGTACAATCTGCTCTGACAAAGAATGAATTTTCTATCAACAGTTCAAAGGATTTTTCACCGTGTAAAAATTTAATTTACCCACAAGACGGTTCCTGCAAACATTAAAGCAGATGTTTAAAGCACAAGAGTAGACCTGTTGAAATGAGTACGCGTAATTGTTTGCTAACCTATCTACRCAGTGCTGCAAATATTAGAATTACCTCATGAGATTCACTCTACAAAGGGCTTTGAACTTCTGCCCTACCAAGCCACCAAGAGCTTCTGCCATTGATGCGTGACTAGCGAGAAGTCTGGTTGAGATGAACACAAACTATTCCGTGAGCCAAAGGGAAAAACAATAGAATGGGAAAAACCTGAAGCTGGGATACAACACAAAACACTCCAGGCTATTTACTGCCTTTAAATGTATTCCCCCAGCCGGCATTCCACTTGTGACACTTTTCCAAATACACTCATTTGTTTCGACACTTAAAACAGACCCCTAGATGGCACAAATACACCCCTTACACCCCTGGTGCTGCTCACAGCACTAGGAGGCAGTCGTTCTGTAGCTTCGGGATCACAATTGCACCACTCGCAGGTTACCTTATTCCATTGCCAGGCACATTTTCTAGGGAGTTTTTCTTTTTTTAAACCGGAACACACAGTTTAATCTAACAGACAGAATATTACACATTAAAAAAATAAAAGCTGATATTAAATAGGATTTCTGGACCGGTATCAATGCCGAATTCACATGTTGAACGTACTGTGGATTTTAACTCTATAACTGTCATCATCATCCAACTATTTGGCACACAGAATTCTGCTCTGGCAAGGGCTCGACTTAAGAAAAAAAAAGTTGCACAGGTTTCAAGAGATTTTTCATAACAGATATAACCGAATTGTAGTATTGTGGTTTCATATAAAAAGTTAGATCATTGTCATTCTTGTTCCTGAAACATGTACTTAACAAAAAAGAAACAAGAGGTCATGAGATCTGCATCTGAAGAAGAGAAAAAAAATGTCTAAACCAAAGTTCTTTCAATAGGGAGAAGGTCCCAAATTCAAACAATGCACATCCCCACTAGCAGGGTGGTTGGGATGCCACCACTCCACTTGTCAGGCTCTGGTTTCCCCCACAGAATTGCCCGAGAGCGGGTGGACTGGCGTCCCTGCAGATTCACAAGGCCAGAAGAGGCACTCACAGAACCAAACTACAGACTCAGGCACCTTCTGCCCATACAGACCCCAGCTAAATGTACCCACCCACCCATTTCTGGGCATATCCCRACCTAAACTGACTGTATAGTAAAATCTTTCTGAGAAATGCATCGGGTCAACAGCATGGCCTCGGCACAAACCTGAGCTTTACAAATGCTTCAAATGATCAAGACTACCAGGTAATGCAGCCACAGTGGTCTAGATATAACAGACTTGGTTTAGGATAGAAAACAAGACCCTACAGTTCCTACTCACGGTGCTTCCTGGCACTATTTCCTGAAGGAGTGACAGTGTGGGAGATGCCTTTCAAAGACATGGGCCTCAGATACCCGGAAACCTACTGCTTTAGTCAAGGCTGACAAGCTCAAGTTTGTGTTACAACATGCAGTAGTGTCAAAAGACACAAAACACACCCAGCAGATCTCTTCTTAAGATATTGTGCAGACCTTTAAAATGCAGACCTGGTACAGTGTTTCCTCACTATCGTTTCCTGACACCAACACTACCACTGCAGGCAACAAAGAAGCTCCTCGCCCTTCTCACAGTGTCAAAGGAATGCTACTCAAACCAGTGAATTCTCCAGGTCTGCAGATCCAAAGAACGGATAGCTGGTCCTTGTGATGCAGRTTATGGTCTGTTCTCCACCAGTTCTGGGAGACCCTAACCAGCAAACAATTGAAAAAATATCTTTTAGTGGCAGCTGAGAAAGGAGCTATATTTATTAAGGGGTGCTTCAGTCCATGAAAGCTGCTGAAAAGATGCTGAAAATTATCTTATTTTCAGTATGAAAACAGAACAGAAAACTAAAAATAATCCCCCCAAACACAGAGGATTCTACTATCCACACAGTTTAAGAAGTAAGCAATGAATACTATGCTAGCTGAGTTTTTGACATGAAGCCATTGATTTTTCTTCCAATTTCTTTTTCTTAAGGGGAAAAAATTCAGTCTTCTTCAGTATAAAATGGATTACAGCTTGGCTTGAACAGTGCATTCTTTCAATGGAATGTGGTATTGCCATTATAAATATGCATAAACTTAGCACTTTCATCCACCAACACACTACTAATCCATCTTTATATATTTGATCTTAATTTAATGCAATTAATAAMGAGCATTTTATTACGCTGCATCCTCTGAGATAGACTTTGTCATTTCACAACTTTAATATATACCTTGGATAACCCTGTTTTTTGAGTTAATCTATTCGACACTTTCATAACAGTAAACAAAAACAGCTCAGCTATGCAGCAAAATCCACCAAACCACACAGATGGTTATAAGGTTTTCATTGTGTGGTTTCCATAGCAATCATATTGCAAATCTGGAAGCTTCTTGCAAATAAGCAGCTTGTATTTACATGCCTCTCGGCTGCAGCATGGAACCCTACACCAGGCAAAGTTGTTATTCCAATCACATAGCGTTAGGAAAATCTTGGGGAGGTGTTTTGATCAGCTAAGATAAAACGACTCCAATGAGCTAATTTTACATCTCTTCCGTAACAATTCCAGCAATCATATGCTTGCAGTGCACACTAATGTGTCTTCATTTGAAAACTCACCGGGGTGTCCAAAGGTTATTCGCATATAAACAGGTCTTGTAAGACAAACCCCCACAAAAAGACTTGCATTATTAGATAATCAATAAAAGCTCCAGTGCCTTTGCCATTGTGCTCAGCAGGGATGAGACACGCACGCGTGCAGGCATGGAGATGTGCACATGCAGCACTCAGCTGATGCTGAACATCACAGCTGCTCTGCTCAAGAAAACCCAAAAGGTACAACCACATATTAACATTACTTACACTGAGAATTTAAGTATTACTTTTCCAGGCTGCTTTTCCCCCACAAATAATGACTCTGTGCAACTGTAAACAAAAACTCTGCAAGATGAGCAAATGCTTACTGTGGGAAAGAGTYGAGACCTTTTCTCTCCCAGATTTATAACTTTATAAATTGACCTAACCCCATAACAGATGTATTATTACCCTAATAAGGTAAATAAATCAGTCCAGCCATGTAATTAAAAAAAAAAAAAAGCCTTTTTACAAGCAAAATTATTTGTTTTGAGAAGAACTTAAGCAATCCCGAAGAAGGAGCAATAAAAACCCAATTTTTAAGTATAAACTATCTTTTTATAATTTGGCTGAACCACCAGCTTCCGCTTGCATTAGCAGTGAAGGTTAGGGACCATCTGGAGACAAAGGAAGACGAATCAATACACTGCTCTATGCAGGCTGCACTGCTGAGCATCCCAGAGATAAAGGCTGCCCCATTAGAGGAGTAGGGTCTTCTGCAGTATCCCCACTATATACACAGCCCTGTGTGTACCTTGACACTGCACCCAAAATCTTACTGGTTTTTAGCCCAAGTGGCTTGGTATCTCAGAAATCTTCTGTAGGTTACTCGATCTTAGGTGTATGTAAAATGGCACTCACAGGGCTTTCCATCCTCTTCTTTTAGGCTCTCATTCACCCACAGCAAGAAGTTTCTAAATCCAAGTGTTAAAATTCTAGTTTTGATTATCTTCCAAATATTCCCACATATCTTTGGGTTGCTCTAAAAAAGTCTAAGCAAAGCAGCAACAGTTTGTAAGGATCTCTGCACACTGAGAGCCCATCTATGACACAGCTGAAGTCTAAAATTTTAGCTCAAATGACTCAGTTTTGT